TTGTAATCGTAAGAAGCATCAGAAGTACAGGACGTCTGCATGAAGCTGAATATTAATCAAAGCTGTAGCAAGGACTGAGCTTTTCTTCACATCCGAGGTTTGTCCACAGAGCATCCTTGACCTCATACCACTGTGCAGACATTCAATTAAACTTACAAACTTACTCGGACAACCAAACATACCCAACGCCAGCCAAAGTGCCTCGCGGTCCAGCGTGTCTAATGCGTTGGTGAAATCTAGACAGCTCTTACCTTGACAGTTGTTGGTTTCTGCATTTCTCCTCTATTTGACGAGCCGCGAACACCATATCTATAGTGCTGCGGCGCGAACGGAATCCACATTGCTCTTCCGCCACGTGCTATTCAGCGATCTGAGTAACGTGGCGGTTGTGCAGAAATCGGGCGACTTAGCAAGTTGATGCCATATTCGTGCAACATTGCTTGTCCCGTTTGACGTTGTACAGTGGTTGCACAAGCGCATCGTTTAAGTTAGTCGGCACCTCTTCTTAAGACCATCAACGTTGCACCAAGGATTGTAGTGCGTATATTAACGGGGATCCACGGTGTTTCAATACTTCAGGCGGTATCTCGTCGGCTCCGGCGCACATACTGTTTCGTTGCTGATCTCTTGTTGTCTGTCTCAAATACTGTCGGTGTGTCGGTCGGACACATCATCATCTGAAACATGAATTTCCATTATTAGTTCCAAATAAAAATATCAGAAGACATATGTTGTGTTATGACATGGTCATTTCATCCATTCTCATCGGCCACGTACATACAATTAACAAAGAAACCAAATTAAGATCACATAAGTCCAATTGTTGGTCAACGGAATTAACATTGTGCGCTACTCTGTACCACAAAGGGCTCAACGTCACAGTCAGCTATTTCTGAACGCAGAGCGTTGGGTGCTGTTGATCGATAACGACGGCTGCGAGAGGCTTGATACTGTGAGGCCTTTGGCTGCGTATGATGACTGAATCATTCATCTGAGTTTATCTGGTGACCGCTGTTCAGCAACTGCCTCGTAATTGCTGAGGCGGCCTTGCTATTCGATTCCCCCGGTGAAACCGTCGCAATTTCCACCCGTTCGCGTAGCCACTTCGGAATGTGTTCGTTGATCCGGACACCTAGATTTCGCTCATTACGCCCAACATAGCTGTCCCCGCAGCTGCATGTGAATTTGTATAGACAATAGGACGTGAACTGTATTGACACCGGTGTCTTCAATAAACACTTAATCAGTAGTCTTGTGGACACAAGCAGGCGTAGCTCCGCTGCATTGTTTGCCTTTTTCATTGAGGCGCTTATTCGCTTTGCGGTGACTTTCATAAGGTGGTCACCTTAGAATGGCAACTCGATAAAAGCCAGTTTCTTTTGCACCGTTATCCTTCGATCTCGTCTTACTTTGTCGCTGTAACGCTTTATGAACTGGAGTGGATAACCATTTGCTCGTAGCATCTGAAACAATAGTTCTTTCTCAGCTTCTAGTGTATCTGTGGTGTCAACCATATGAGTCCGATGGAACAAACTTGGAACGAGGAGCTGCTTATAGTGTATCGGCAAAAAGCTCGTAAAGTATTGACTGTGACGCTAAGCCTCCCGTGCTAGAGAATAGTGCACTGTCGTTATTCCGTTGATCAACAATTGGACTTATGTGATCTCGTTGGTTTCTTTGCTTTTTGCTTGTACGTCGCCGATGAGAATACACTAAATGAGAGTGTCATCCTGCAACATACGTCTTCTGATATTCTTATTGACATTTTCATCTCTTGCTGTTGCAACCCGTTCGACTTAGGCCAGTCAAACTCTGAAGGGTTGTTCAAGGTACAGTCTGTGCGTTCGCTAGATCTGCATTATATCTACAATCTGTGTACAGCCAGCACCTGAAATAGGATCGAGCAGCGTCCCCAGCGGCTGTAACCTAGGCCCGTACATCGCCTTTAAGGAGACTGAGAATTCCTTATGTTGGCGGCGTTCAACATCGCATTCCATTTGCTTCGCCTTATCCATCCACCAAGCATTTTTGATGCGACGAAGTTCTCGAGTCATTTGCTGTCAGAGTTTGCGAAAATAACTCTCGTTCATTGAGTCGGCAAGGTCCGCCACATGTGCAGCGAATGCTACACTCTTTTCCAACACCATTGTCGTATCTCACTCCCAGTAATACGTATGTCGGCCCTTAGCCAAGAAGTTCGAAGGCAGCGTGCGAACGACGGACAGTATACTCGGCATGTGAAGTAATACACTTTGTCAGGACTGAAGATAGGCGCGTGTGTGTATGCATGCGCGCGCGTGTGTGTAGAACACCAGAGTAGGAGAAGCGTAGTTAACGTTCGTTAGCTAAACACGTGACATCTCTCATTGTTGTGACTAGCGTCGCTGTCCGAGGTGGGTAAATTATCCCATGGAACCATCGCCGAAGGGCCTGACTCATTAGGCAGCAGGGCGAGATAAGAGTTTCACATCCTTTGGGAGCTGGCGACTGAACACCCAGTTCGTACGCCTTTTGAATGGCGATAAACCATACCATAAACTTAATACTCCCCAGGTTATACGCCAAATATGGTCATCGGTTTGCTTGCCGGTGCACAATGTTTCCAAGGAAGACAAGGGTCGTGGCCCTGTTTATTCGTGAGTCACTTCCACCACGTCTCAGTGTTGTTGGACAGAAATTTGTGGATTTTTATTTGGAAAACGCTTGCTAGACAAAAACCCACCACGTCCTGGAGCACGGCCGCTTAACCATTCCCTGGGACGGACAATTTTTGAGCCACCCAGCTGACACCAGGTGTAAGTAGTTTGGCATGCAATACTACAGACACTAACTCTATTCGCTTTTCCGTCCACTTGTCATGTTATCAGTTGACCGGCTCCAAATTTCTACTATAGAACTGCATCGTTGATGAGTCATGCAAGTTAATCGGCATGTTTGCAGATTTTTATATGGCTAGCTTGATGGTCTAAGTTTAGCAGCTTTTCTATATTGTTCAGCAGATGCATCGGTGACCATAGCTGACTGGTTTCTTACTGCACACATTGGCGGCGTCCCTTATGAATACAGTAACGCTGGCTAACATTGGTCAGTTATCATGTATTCAACCAGCTGCATTTACGACTGAAGTGTCACAGCGTCACATGGGCCCTACATATGCGTGCATTCGCTTCGAAGTGATGTAGATAAACATATAAGCATACCGATCGATAACTTCAAGTTATAGCTCACTGGTGGTGGGGGTTGGGAGTGTTCTGTCGTCATGTAACGTTTCTTTGAACATAGGAAACACATAACTAAGTGCACAGTGGATTGGTTTAACCTACTCAGCAGCGGAAGTATGTCCGAAGTGATCTATATTACCCACGTACCACAAGCAGACAACAGCTGCTTTAAACCAGAAGTGGAATGCGAGGCAGAGTTATTCAACTCATTGTGATCACAAAATTCAACATCACACATTCACATCACCAAATTCAAGATAATGATGAAGGCTTAGACAAATCCCGCGTAGCGTGACGAGGTAAGGGGCAAACGATTCGTTCGTTAGTCATCGGCCGAGCGCCAGAATTAAAAAGGAGCTTCTCTTGAGCGACCAGAATCGTCACAATAAGTTACGGTCGAACTACTCTTAGGCTCTAAATCGCTTGTTTTCTTCTTCATTATCAATACACGCCAATCTGACTTTTCACTATATAAAGCATTGATATTCTTACTATATCTTCGGAGGCCATGCATTTTACCGTTTTCAAACCAGAATCTACGTGATTGTTTATGACTCGTAGATCATATGATGCGGCCCTTGTCCGAAATGACAAGGCATCTACCTTGAAACACGGAGTTTAAGGGTTCCAGCCTAATTAGGAGACCGGCGACTGCAGTATCCTTAGCCTTCTCAAGATTGCTAGTGGCTGTGTCAGTGAAGTGTCGGTACGGCGCACCGGCGTACTGCTGATGTCTTTGGAGCGAAGAGAAACCTTTGCGGCGGTGGATTTAGTCTTGCAAACATTTTCATTACCTCGACGGGGAATCGAACCCCGGTCCCACGAATTTCCGGTCCGCTGCTCTGTCCTTCTGAAGTCCAAAGGGCGATGGTAGATTACTTGAAGGATGTTTGTGAGTAGCGTAAGGTTCGTAGAAAGTAGAAGTCACGCTTAAACTGCACACAATAATCTGCCTCGACGGGGAATCGAACCCTGGTCCCACGAATTTCCGGTCCGCTGCTCTGCCACTGAGCTACCGAGGGCTGACGATTAGATGCGCAATTTAATACATGACTTCTGCTCGGCGCGCGACGTATTGCCAATGAGCTCACAGTAACTGTCCTGGTGTTGCAGATTGGCTCACTCACTCGTCACTTCCCAATGGACCGAAGTAACTGTCCTTCTGAAGTCTACGAACCTTACGCTACTCACAAACATCCTTCAAGTAATCTACCATCGCCCTTTGGACTTCAGAAGTACAGTTACTTCGGTCCATTGGGAAGTGACGAGTGCGTGAGCCAATCTGCAACACCAGGACAGTTACTGTGAGCTCAGTGGCAATACGTCGCGCACCAAGCAGAAGTCATGTATTAAATTGCGCACCTAATCGTCAGCTCTCGGTAGCTCAGTGGTAGAGCAGCGGACCGGGAATTCGTGGGACCGGGGCTCGATTCCCCGTTGAGGCGGATTGTTGTGTGTAGTTTAATCGTGACTTCTACTTTCTACGAACCTTACGCTACTCACAAACATCCTTCAAGTAATTTTCATTACCGCTCACTTTTTGTTCTTGCGCTCATGTGCGCGAGCTTTGGCTCGTGTTGTGCATTTGTTGTCACCTGTCTCTGCCTCTGTTCCGCTGTCACTGACTTGGCGACGCTTTTCCATGTTATTGCGTCAGGCGCTCGTAGTAACTTTCATACAACTTCATTTCAAGTTCACCAAAATGTAATCTTTGTTCTGTTCTTTTACCCTAATTCGTATCAGGCGCTGTTATTATTACACTTTTCTTTTTGTCCTTTAGATGATAAGTCTCGCTGACAAAATCCGACAACGCAAACGCGGTATTGACGCGAATCAGTCAGATGCTGCACAGTCGGCATCAGTACGCAGTGCTACCATACGCGATCGTCTTCTGTTACAGGAAATACAGGAATTGAAAAACAACCTGTCGTCTCAGTGTACTATTCACCACCCCGACCCTAACAAACTCCATGAATTCACTCTGACGATTAAGCCGAAGGAAGGCGTTTGGGCAGGTGGCACGTTTGTGTTCGAGATAACTGTTCCGGAGGGCTACAACCACACACCCCCTCTCGCGCATTGTAACACTCGCATTTGGCATCCGAATATCGATGAAGAAGGTCGTGTTTGTCTCAGCTTGCTGCGTCAGAGCTCATTGGATTCTTCCGGTTGGGCACCAACACGTCGTTTGCTAGATGTCGTATGGGGGATCGAGTCTCTGTTCACCGATTTGTGTGATTTCAGCGATGCCCTCAATACGGCTGCATCGGAACAGTTCCAACGGAGCCCTGAAGAATTCCATCGGACCGCCCGCAGCTACGTGTATGAATATGCAAGATGATGGCCAGTGGGCTTTCATTACGACACCATCACCATCACACCGGTCTGGGAGAGAAACGAAAGACACCTCTCTTATTGCCGGATGCTTGTTAGCACACATGCCCATCTTACCCTTTCTCTTGAACGACGCCTCATAATGGAGAGAATTACGTTATTTATTTTTGCCCCCCGATGTTGTTCGCCTTGATCAACCCGAGCCTCACTGAATGTTCTTTGATTAGGCGTGATGTGTTTCGAATAATACACCATAACCAACAGCCGTTACAGTTGTTTTTTGTCACCCTTTCGTTGTATTCCGGTTTTTTAAATTCGTGATGTTTTACAGATCAATGCGAGCTTTTGCAAAGAAGTTGAATGTGATGTTACGGCTATTTCGTAACCTCAGTGACCAAAAACGTCCATCCACTTCTCCTACAGGTTAGTGCTCAATTCCATTCAAATTTTGATTTTCGGTGTAGCAAAATCCGAAAGGCGTGACGAAAATTCGGCCAGAAGCGCACATCCTTCTACGGCTACTTACAAAGTGCCAGAATATTATGGTCATTCTGCGTACTATTTTTACGATTCCATCATCGCTTTAAAACCTCGTCGCCTTCCCCAACCGGACCCTACTCGTTCGACTTAATTACTATAGTGAACCAAAATATTTGGTTTGAAACTTTTGCAAAATATATACTAAATCATTAGCTTTCCTTTTTGCAGTGATTCGGAATACCCGTAGTGCGGGTTGGTAGTTAACGTTTTGATTCATTCTCCTAGCTGAGTAATTTGATGACAAACGTTTCACCACTTCCCTCAGTGGCATCTTCAGTGCACTGCTCCGTAGAGGAAGATCTCACCGAAAGTTTCGTCAGGAGGTAGCGTTTGAAATTGGTCTCGTCGATCTGTTTCCCGTGACTTCTGTTTGCTCGATATTTGGCCGCCCAGTTTCACGCTTTCTCAGCTGTAGGTACACAGGATCGAGGTCAATGCGAAGTTCACTGAATTCTCTGTAGAAAACCATGCCTCAAGGGATTCCCTTCATTTTCTTCTCCCTCTGTGCGCCAGAATTTCTGTGTTGTCTCAGTTAACGTTGTGTTTTCCTCATCGAGATCCGCCGAGGTCTGTGACGATACATAATGGTATCGACACGCCCGCGTAAAGAAAGACACAACGTTAACTGGAACAACCCAGAAATTCCTCCTCACTGAGGGACAAGAAAAGGAAGGGAATCCCTTGAAGCATGGTTCTCTACAGAGAATTCAGTGAACCTCCACATTAACCTCGATCCTGTGTACCTACAGCTGAGAAAGCGTGAAACTGGGCGGCCAAATATCGAGCAAACAGAAGTCACGGGAAACAGATCGACGAGGCCAATTTCAAACGCTACCTCCTGACGAAACTTTCCGTGAGATTTTCCTCTACGGAGCAGTGCACTGAAGATGCCACTGAGGGAAGTGGTGAAACGTTTGTCATTAAATTACTCAGCTCGGAGAACGAATCAAAACGTTTGCTTTCCTTTTTCTCGTTTTTTTGTTTTTGTGTCTAAGTATCTCTTTCTGTCCTAGTACATGACTCTGGAGCTACTGGAGAGTCGGTTAAATGATTTAGAAAGGATTATTTTTGGAGACAGGCATGGGCTCTCGGCTCTCTCGGAGGTAAAACGAGTAGGTCGACCAGTTTAATTACGCACTTTACTTTGTCACTTTTCTCAGCCAATTTTCGATCAACTGGTCTCAGCTCATAACGCCATAGCTTCGGCGGAGAAGCGCCCCTTAGTGGCCAAGATGCTTGCTCGCAGTAGGATCTGACGTTTTTGACAAAGACCTTTTAGCTACAGAAATACAAAAATACACGGATCCGAATTTTATCGAGGATGACACGATGTCTTCGAGAGCAAAGGTAGAAATCCTTCTTGCAGGTTAGTTGTAGATGATTACTTTCCATGTTTGCTCTCATTCTCTTTTACCTACCGTTTTGATTTTTTCGATGAGAAACGTAAGTGGGTATTATCAACATTGGCCCACGTACCTAAATTACATCAATTTTTACCTGTTACCATCAAATCCCCGGTCGCTAAGCATGTACCTTATACCCCGATTTGCTCTCCACCATGGCAGCGAGACGCGGCTCCAATGTGGTGCGACGGTTTCAAGTCAAATGAAGTGAAAATAAGCTTTATGTATCCGACTGGGTACATTTTCAGCACTCTGCAATATCGACTACGGATGGGCTAAAATTACCTTATCCGAAGAGTAAATTTTTATGAATGGAAAAAAAGACACTGTACAAGTGTCACTTGAATAAACGGTCAGTATAAATGAGCAATAATTAAAAATTTCCGAACAAAGTAATCTGAACCTGCATTCTGTTGACAGACCAGCTTTGCATGTTAGATTACCATTCGGGACCGTCCATCTATAAATGCACAGTATCCTGAGTATTTTGCGTAAGTAAGCAAAGGACAACAGTGGTGACCGTGGAAATAGTTTGTCAAAGGTCAGTGTTAAAATATTCCGAGAAAATAAATGTATCGGTAGCGATATATTGTAAAGACGATGTTCAGTGAAAACGGCAATGGCCGATTTAAAGGCCCCGCCATCGACCTCGACTTATTGCACTATGCCTTGTTGTGCATTTGGGTCCCTGGAGAGCTACTATTACCAGATTGATCAGTGATTAGAGGTCAGTGGAACTCAGTCTCCTAGTTCTCCAGGTTAAGTGTTAGAAGTAAGATTTATGTAAAGCTGTATTGTTACAATCTTTCTGCCTTCCTGCGGTCAGTGTCTTGAGCCGGAGACTTCTGTCGAGGACCTTGTCGGTCTCCTGATTATGTTTAGGTGCTTTAGTAGTATTTCCACTTACATGCAAACATAAATAAATGGATTCATAGATTCATAGACCTGCGAGCTTATCCAGCGGTTTCAAAACGGTCTCATTCTCTGCTACATAAATTGGGTGGATAAGCGAAAATATACTATCGTAGACGCCTCGCCTGTTTCCTCATCACTTGTTTTTCTCACTTCTTACTAGCTTTCCATTTCTAGCTATTTATCTATAAACCCCAGCCTAATCGATGGCAGTAGTGCCATTGGATTTTTGCCACTTGCAGTTGCATTGCATTCTTGGTCTCATCTCATAAGCAGCTCCCTATCAAGCCATGTTCTTCTGTCCCTCTGGGGGCGTTCAGCTTTCGTACTTTAAAGACAGTTCAGCCGACTGAGTTTACATGTACCCTAGACACACCGATTGTCGATGTGTCCGAAACTAGGATCAACGACTCTGGAGCTTATCAAACTAACTGTGCCCTGCTTGTCCTCTCGTTATTGGTTGCACGCATCCGGAAACAGTGATGTATCAGCCACAGGTCAAACTGGGGTGAACACTGTCCTCAGCTCCCGGACTGATTCATCGTGGGTTTACTCGACTTCCACAACCAGTCATTTTGACGATATCAACTCGGATCAGCGCACGGAGCAGCATCTGACATTCTTCGTTATTACCACTAATACCCCCATCAACTGAAACCCTTATACTACCAAGGACGTCCTCCACCACGAACCCAATACGTTGTTTTCCTATTCCGCCACGATCTCTATGGCACAGTATCTGTACGACAGCTAATAAATAATTATGTGTGTCTTCACCTTCTGTAATGGGTCATTCCATCCCGGTTAGTTTTGCGCATCTTTCTTGACTCTGCTTTCTTTGTGTTCCGATTTGCGTCCAATTTCATTTTCATACCGTTGTAACTTGTCGTTATTCTAACGACCGCTTTTCATGGCAATTGGATTCAACGCACTTCGGTGCCCGGATCATTTTTTTTCTACTTAACTGAACTTCGGGTGACGCGGTTCCATCCTAGACTGCTTCTCTGGCTGAAGTACGTGTGTCGACTGTAATCATGCTCTCATACACTGCCGTTTTTGTACTAACAAGTACATTGGCAAGAGACGTCTGTTACTCTCTTGTTTGTCGGTGCCAATGGACTCGTTTATCTGGATATATGGATACTCGCAAGTCCATGTGTAGTAACTATTTACTCCTTCCCGTATATCTCAGTAGAAGCGTGAGATGGAAGTGGTTACTCAATGGACTGTTCACTGAATTCTCCTGAAAAGGAGTTCTTACTGGATAGAGTTAACTCAACCCTATCTCTAACCCTGAACTCAATGATGTCTCCGACTGGCGGCGCGAATAAGATGGACTTTCTAGGAGGTGGGCGAATTGTTTATCCGAAGAAAATGCGTGCCATGTGTGATGGTGGCTGAAACCGATGGTATGTGAAAACGCTATGGTACCGGTAGGCAGATGGCCAATCGTATGCCCTGCAGCATTTCGCGGAGCACCAAATAGATGCAACTTAGCCTGAAGGAAAATGAGCATGTTATCGGAAGCGATTGGTCAGCCGAGTGCATAACGCACGCTCCCATCAAGATCTGCGATGACAGCCAGCCAATTCAGCGAACATCCACTGAGTGCGCAGGTGACCAATCAGGCGCCAGCAGGTCCCAAATGCACAGGACCAATTCAATCTGACGAAAGAGCGCGTATCCGTAAGAAGCGGATTGGTTTGCCAGCCCACGAATAGATTGTGCGCACTTGAGTCAAGGTTTGATATGGTACCGGACTGAGGAAAGGAGCGTTTGACCAGATGGACGATTAATCAACCGAGCAATCGGACAATCAGCCCAGAAAGTCAGCAACGCGGCTCGAGGTAATTTTAGACGGGATGAACGTTGCGAGCAAGCATGAACCAATGAAATGGGGTCAGCGACATAATGCAAATAACAAAGGTGAGCCGGTGGAGCGGACTCTCGCAAATAGTTTATATACTCTATAAATATCCAACCGTAATCTTGATGAACGACTTCGTGATCGCGACCCGAGATGGAATGGCGTTCACTCGCACATGTAGGTGATCAATAAACAGGCTACTTTCTATAACTTGAGGTAGTCACCCACCCTTTTGCACACGAAACAGTCCGGTAAAGACACGGTGCACGGACTAACTCCGTGGCATTTTCAGATGGCGTTCAACGCAAGACTGAGTGCAAGGAAATTTGAGTTGCTGATACTGTATTTGGGAAGAACCGGGTAGTTGTGTTACTTGGTGATCTTAGAAGTTTGAATCAGTTAGTTCCCTTTAGTAGTTTGAAAACCGCAGTAAGAAGACGAAGACTGGCAAATGCCCGCATTTCGTATTGTTTCGTCAGTGCCTTTAACAATAACTCGCAATATTATTTATTTAATGAAGGGTGCGACCAAACATACATGCAAACAGACAAAGAGACCAATACACGATAAGCGAGACAGGGTTATCCCCAGGGCCAGTCTAATGCTGACCGATAATTGTTTCTGAACACAAAGCAGCGGCTTAATCCGGTTAATTGCAATCGCCTCTGCGAAACGGAGGAGGCGAGAATTGGTGTGCTGTTGAAGTTGAACAAAGCCGCGGGACCAGATGATTTTCCTCCAGCCCTCTTCAAATTTGGAGGCTCTGCTCTTGTTGATGCTTTGCATGAATTACTAGTGAAACTGTGGGAGCAGGAAACTGTCCCAACCGACTGGAGCCGCTCCGTTATTGTTCCCATCTTCAAAGGCGGCTCGCGCTCGGAATGCGGCAACCATAGAGGAATCAGTCTGATCACCATCGCCTCCAAATTACTCGCGTCCATAATTCTCCACAGACTGACTGGCGCTCGTGAAAGCCGGATTCGTGAAGAGCAAGCCAGGTTTCGACCACATCTTCACCTTGCGTCAGTTGTTGGAGCACCGCCACACATATTGGCGGCCCACCGTAGTCGTGTTCCTCGACATCAAAGGTGCCTTCGATTCGGTTGATCGATGTGCCCTTTGGAATTGTCTACTCAGGAATGGTGTGCCCGAGAAATATGTAAATATTATCCAAGCATTATATGCGCGTAGCACGGGCAGAGTGAGGGCTTACGGCAAGTTGTCGCCACCCTTCAATATCTCCAGCGGTGTGAGACAAGGATGCCCGCTGTCGCCTTTCCTATTCAACTTCGCTATTGACGAAGTCATGGAGATTGCATTTACAGGACATGACTTGGAAGTTGTTGAGCTACTCCCAGGAGAACGAGTTCTTGACTTGGAGTATGCAGACGACATTGCCCTCATCTGTGACAGCTCCCAGACGTGTCAAGCCGCGCTGGACAGATTAGCACTGGCTGTCAGTCGCTTCGGGCTTTGCTTTGCACCACCGAAGTGCAAAGCATTCCTCCAGGATTGGCAGGGATCGCCCCCTGTGCTGACCGTTGGTGGGGATCAGCTAGAAATCGATCGGAAATTCAACTGCCTGGGAAGTTGTATCAGCGCCCTTGGGATCGAAGATGAGATCACGAACCGCATAGCGAAAGCTCGAAGTGCTTTTGCTAACCTTCGCCACCTATGGCGGCGGCGCGACATTACTCTCGCCCTGAAGGGTAGAGTGTACAATGCAGCGGTACGTTCGACCTTACTGTACGGTTGCGAAACCTGGCCCCTAAGATCGGTGGACATGAAGAGGCTAGTTACGTTCGACCATCGGTGCCTTCGCAGTTTGGCTCACATCTGGTGGGAACACCGCGTGAGTAACGAGCATGTTCGACACCTTGTTTACGGCACAGGAAAAGGGAATGAACCGCTCAGCACCGTCATTTCCCGCACCAGGCTCCGATGGCTCGGCCACGTGTTGCGCATGCCAGCCCACCGACTCCCTCGACGTGCGTTGTTTGCTCACCGGGGATGTGGATGGAAGAAGAGGAGAGGTGGCCAAGTGATGACTTGGTCGAGAGGAATGAAGGCCCTCACTTCGGTACTAGCCTCAGTTGGAGCTTCACGGCTCCCTGGTTGGGGTCCAAAAGACGGTGAACACGTTTGGCTGGATACACTTGCTGATATGGCAAGGAGCCGACCTCAGTGGCGTTCGTGCTGTGAGTTTCTTTGTCCCTCCCCATCCCTTTAACCTCCCCCTCCATCTACGATCTTATTTCGTAAGGTAAAACGTAATTAAATTTTTGTTTTTGCCTAGTAGCCGGTTAGTAGCTTACCGGAACGATGCGTATCCGTTGCTGGTAGCTCAGCTGGCATTCAACTGTCGTATTTATTTTTCCTTTATGTATTGTATGTGTGTATGTATTTCCTTTATGTATTGCGGTACAATAGCGGAGGTGTTTTGCCATCTCTAGCTGACATGTATAATGATGATGATGATGATGATGATGATGGTGTGCTGTAATAGGATTGTGAACGCCGAAGTGACCTCGACTCGGTGACCTGTGGTCAATAAGTGTCGGCCGATCGAAGAGGCTGATGGCTTACGCAGACAAGCAGCTGGACTCTGGCCAGTTTCCTTAGCGGTCGAACGATGAACCCACTTGGGTATATGCTCCTTCATTCGGGAACTCAATGTTCTATCTATCCTGCCTATGTAACTAGCGCCGCAGTCACGAATGTATTGGTAAATGCAATGCGATTTGGCCTCGATAGACGGAGCCTCCTTTACAGAAAGAAGTGGCAGTCTTTGGCTTTTGTTAATGACGACGACGTTGGCGACATAGTAAGTTGTCTGCATGGCACAGATCAGACGCCTTGTGGTCCTCAACGAGGAGACGTCATCTTTGAATGGCAGTTCAATGATTACAGACTTCTTAGGTACCGTGTTAACTAGGTCCTTTGGTCGCACTTGACTATGTTTCTCGATGAACCTTCGGGGGTAGCCGTTTTCAATGAGCGTGTTGGTAATCAACTGCAGTTCATCAGCCAGGCAATCAGCGGAGCAGATTCGTCTGGCACGACTAATCAGGGTTCTCACGAGCGTCCGCTTGTATCGCATTGGTGTGAAGCTAGTGAAATGCAGATACTGCCCGGACCATGTTGGTTTCCTGTAGACAGACCTCTTTATCTGCCCGTTTTCTCTGCGGCTGATAAGGAAATCCGAGTATGGGAGGCAATTTTGCTTCTCTATCTCACAGGTGACCCGCAAGTTATAATGTGCAGAATTTAATTGCGTTACCAACTGCTGCATCTGGTGCTCCGATGAGCAAATTGCCAATATATCATCCACATAGCGTTTGTAGTATGGAAGTCGAGATATTTCTCCAGACATACCTCGCTCTACCTCGCTCTAACATAAAGAAATCAGCAAGTACTGAGCCCAATGGACTTCCCATCGCTACTCCGTCAATCTGAAAGTACAGTGTGCTTCTGAATTGAAAGTTGACGTTCTCCGTACACAACAACAGCGGGTCTCTTAGTAGCTCAACTGGCATCGTTAGCGGACACCGCGAACTTTCTGCTAGTTCATAAATGTAATCAACAGTTTGTTGCAGGGGAACATTGGTAAACAGCGATTCCACATCTAAAGAGTACATGACCTTATCGGATACATTAAGTTTGTCGAGGTTGTCGATAAGCTCGAAAGAATCTTTGAGGCTGTATAGATTTGCCCACTGTCGCAGCGGAGAAAGCAATTTCACCAGCCAGATAGCCAGTTTATGTTGAGGCGCGTTTACCATCGATGGAATCGGTCTCAGTGGCACCCCACTCTTATGTACTTGCGGTAGCCCTTATAGCTGAGGAGCAGTGGAGCCGGTCGGCTTTAAGCTGTCACACGTCTCACTGTCAATCACATGATGTAGATGAATTACATCTAAGTGACGAGTTATGCGAGACTCTAACACAGCGACATCCTCTGCCCTCTCAAGTCGTTTGAATTTACTTGTGTCCTCGAGTATGACTGTCATCTTCTTTATGTATTCATCCTTATTCATGAGTACTACACCAGAACCCTTATCTGGCTTTGTTACAATCACATCCTCGGCACGTAGTTCGCGTAACGCCTGTAAATGCCGTTTTGTAAGTGCACACTTCTTTTACTGGCACATGTTTAACCTCATAAGCAATATCTGTCAGCTTGTTTCTAAACCATATGAGCTTATCAGCACTGGCTTGTTGTAGATCTTTCACCTGATCGAAGAATTTTTCAAACTGCGATTCAATAAGAAGCTCATTTAACCGTCTAGGAGAAATTTTGTAGTCTATGCCAAATGATAATGCTTCCATTTGTAAGGCATTAAGCTTCAAATCCGACACATTCAGAACATACTTACCGGGGTCACGAGTAACTGCCACTTCCTCTTGGTTGTTCATCAGTGACTTTTCTAGACGAGCCAACGCAATCCTTTTTGTGCGATCAACGGTGGTTTTACAAAACCAAAGAGAATGCAATACGACAACATTAGGAAGGAGCATATACCCAAGTGGGTTCATCGTTCGACCGCTCAGGAAACTGTCCAGAGTCCAGCTGCTTGTCTGCGTAAGCCACCAGCCTCTTCGATCGGCCGACACTTATTGACCACAGATCACCGAGTCGAGGTCACTTCGGCGTTCACAATTCTATTACAGCACACCAATTCTCGCCTCCTCCGTTTCGCTGAGGCGATTGCAATTAGCCGGATTAAGCCGCTGCTTTGTGTTCAGAAACAATTATCGGTCAGCATTAGACTGCGCTGGGGATAGGGGGATAACCTTGTCTCGCTTATCGTGTGTTGATCTGTTTGCATGTATGTTTGGTCGCACCTTAGAATTTGTCCGCTGGTTTGTGAATGAGCGCGGACTACTCCGGTTCGCAGTTGTCCCTTTAGAGGTTGTGAAGTTTGTCCGATCTTCCAGAAAATTGACCTGAAACGGAGTATAGTACGCTTATTGCGGACATTGGAACCGCCTTAACGAACCTGCAACATATGCACCTTGATAGGGATATTCCGCTTATTCTGAAAATGATTGTGTACAAGTCTAGCGTAGGCTTTCCTGCTGTATGGATTGAAACTTGTCTATTCGTCCTGATGATCTAAGGCGCATTCTGTAGTTTGACCTTCTTTACGTACAGACCATTGCTGCCACCAGAGGGCACAGGCTTTTTCTTAATTATACGGTGCACAGATGAGTACTAAACTGCAATTGTCAGGTTAATTCGTTATAACAAATGACCGAATGGCTCGCGTTGGCATGGACACGTGCTACGTATGCCTGGTCAACGCTGTGTTTGTTCTCCGCACGTTGGATAGTACAAAACTCGAGGAAGCATAAATTGACTTGGCAGCAGGAAATAGCCTTTGATTACTGGACTTCCAGACTAGAATCCACGTGACCCGCCTTGTGCTTGGCTTGGGACGTTACAGGACAAGGTTCGCAGCCGGCACCAAGGTTACATCTGCTGTCGTCTCTTAATCGGAGTGTTTGTTTAGTATGTGCCTGATGCTGAGTTATCTATGAGATTACCGGCTGATTATGACTCGGGACAATGAATCTGTTCTGCCAATACTGCCTTGTTTTGATAGATATCTTTCACGCATAACTCTCCGTCAGACGGATTGGTTTTGTTTTGTGACGTCCCGCATATTATCCGATCACATGTTTCTTCCCGGTCCGTTCCATACCACATCCCATCCTCTGCACGCTGGTACCCAAACTATGCTCTCTGCTCTGCCCGTGACTTGCTTCCTAGCACAAAAAGATGGTTAACTCACTGCTTCCAATTCAGACTACTGGTTTTTCATGTGATATCATTGTACCCTGTGACAACATATCACAACCATAAGCATCAGTGGAATATGCAGTGCCTTGCTCTATCTTCTGTTACGTAACCGAATAACAATCCAATGTTTGGGTTGACAAGGACCTAGTGTCTTTTGACTGTCCTTTGTTTCAGAGAAGGAAAAATTGGAAGACACTGCTGTTGCCTTGGCAAACATACAGGCGCTTGCCGGAGTGCTCAACCATCCCTCGTTCAAAGGCAAGTTTTCATCTTGTTGTAACCCATACACATTATTGTTTTTCAGCTTTGAACGATATGCGAAAGAAAATGATGAACTTGCATGATCACCTTTTGGGACAACAACGAAAATCGGCACTTCTACTGTCAGAGTCTCGGGAATTGCTGAGTTCATATTTCCGCATGGTACGTTCACGGTTTCAATACTAGTAATTATAGTATATGTTATGAAATTGAATGAGCAGGAATACGACGAGTGAGAAGAATATGAGCCCAAGGGATTATGTTGTATTCAGCAAGCAAGTAAGGCGTGTAGGCTGAAATGCAATGCGGAAAGGTTTTGTTAAACGAGTAATAAGTGAGAAGTTTACATATCATTCTCCCCAACCAACTTGTGAACTAAGAGATAAGAGAAACTTTTATAAACCTCACGGTTACGCAGATTGTATGCTCGTGTTCTTTGTTGTTCAAAAAGGTATGAAGCATTAAGTGAACAGAGAGCATCAGTTTGGGGCACCTGAGAGTGTCCGTTGTTATATGAGTCGTGGTGGTGTCGGCTTGCGCAGTTACACTGTATCTTCTTTTCCATCCGGGAATCGAATGTGAGCATACCTGGGATTGCAATGCAATAGTTCAACCTCAACCACTAAAGGTTCGTATTTTGGAACTCTCGCATATTACGTCGTAGCAAGACGAGGTGTTGGTACCTTCAGCCAACTCGGTAGAGACGTCTCTGATGTTGATTTAGGATTATAAGAGATGAGTCTCGTGCGGAATGGCCTTCGTATCGGTTCATCGAAGGGAAAAAATAGAATATATGGCGTTCAGCAGTGCACTTTCCACTGAGTGATTTCGAGTCTTTTAGATCTAAGTGAAAGAATAATGAATTTCCAGACAACAACATTGATACGTTCCACCTGCCCATTACTCTGAAGGTTATACTGTGTTGTCCGACTGACCGCAATACTTTTCTGCGTTAGGAACTGACGCAGCTCGTGTGATATGGACGATAAGCCACGATCAGAATGAATATCAAGTGGCATGCCGAAGACTGCGAACATTTGACCATATACAAGAAGGGCGGTCGCACTGACTGTCCTAACGCCAGTTGTGACAATATTACTGACCTCAGTTCTCGTTTGTCCTCTCACTGCGGAACGGGAATCTCGGATTAGCGAAAAGCAGGCAGGTTTCCGCTCAGAACTTGACTGCATAGACCATGTCACTCTGCGGCAAGTGCTATCTGCATTCAGATTCTTCTGTTGAAATGTTGTTTTTTTTTTTGCTATTTTGCAGTTTGTGAAGGAAAAATCCTGTATGAAGTTTGCTTAGGGCGTTTACTTTTCCGTTACGTCCCCTTTCTCTCCCTCTTACTATTCTACTTCTCCTGGGTCATAATGTTTCTATGGGGGCGGAGCATCAGTCCAAATGACTGATGTACTGCTGTTGACGATGATGATGGCTTAGACAGTCGATGCGATCATCTCGCTACAGGCTGTGGCAAACGGGAAGCGAGAGTATTCCCCAGCGACAGTGAACAGGTATTTCGTTTTTATGGCTGACTGCAAAGACCCTTTGAAATCCATGTTTAGGGATGCGTAGCCTTGATGAGCGTTACGGATGATTTGTAACTTTGGGGTTTCAGCTCATCGCCAATGCTGCAGCGGGTGGTCATCGCTTTCACCTCCTTGACTGGAAAGGCAAGTTCCATGAACGAACCAACTGAAACATTCTACTGATTCCGGGATGGTGTAGGGTATCATGTAATTCCTGGAGTGTCATGGCGTGTGATTGTGATAAAGCGTCTGTAGCCCCGTTCTCGCCTCCATTGCGTTAAGCCAATTCATAAGTATAACATGAGAGTTCAACGCGCTAGCGCTGAATTTATCGTTTTTGATCTTGCACTTCTGCTTGAGTTTAAACGTGAATGAGGCAGATCGCTGATCAGTAATAATTGTGAAGCGGTTGCCTATTAGTCAATACCGCCATTTGCAGACCGCCTCAACGATAGTATGTGCTTCCTTCTCGGCAGCAGAATGGCGTGGATCGCTGGCAGACAGTGTTCGTGAAAAGAAATCAACTGGTCGTCCGTTCTGTGTTAGTGTAGCGGCACCAACAATATCAGATGCATCCGTTTTAATTACTAATGGTATGGGATCGTCAATAGAGACAACCACAGAGTTTTCTATCTTTTCCTTGATATTCTCCAATGTCCCCGAAACCAGATTGGGGAGAGGGAAGGAGCGATTGTCAATTAGCGGGCAGATTTCGTCAGAGAAACGTGCGATCCATTGGGAATAATATGCAAAAGGTCTCACAACATGCTGCTAAGATTTTAGGTCAGTGGATGCGGGCAAGCATCTCATAGGTTGAAGTCGGTCTGGGTCTGGTCGAATAAGCTCGTGGGAAATTTCGTGCCCCAATAGTCGTATCTTTCTCGGGCGTATGGTTCTTTTGCTCTTATTGAATGTTAAATTGTGTTTTAGAGCGATTCCGTTAAACTGTTACATTGCGGTTATACTCTTCCTCGGTTGCGCCCACACCGTCAGGTTCTCAGTATAGGCGAATGTCGCGTTCAAGTTCTCATCGGTCATTACTTTGTCAACAACCCTTTGGAAATAGGCGACCTCGTTGGTTACACCAAAAGAACTGGAAAAGATTTTCACAGGCTTCGATTGCCGTGAATTTCTTTTTATTTGCCTTAATAGAAATCTGTTGCTATGCGCTCTTTTGGTCTAATGTGCTGTACATTGAGTAACTGGAAATTTTGTCGATAAGGGCATCAATTCTAGGCGCAGAATACGCATCTAGATGAGTGTACTGGTTGACGGTTTGGCTGTGATTTACATTCATACGGAGTTGGTGTGTCTCGTTCGTAACCACTAAAACCTGAGCTAGCCACGAGGATACCGATGGCTCAGTGATTCCGTCTTTTGGAAGCTTTTGTATTTCCTCACAAATAAACTCCTCCGCAGTAGAGTGAAGCCTCGATTTTGTGGCGATCGGTTTGTCGGTGGAAGCATCGTTTCCAAACAGAGAGGGAAGATTCACTTCGGTATCCAATACCGCACACAAAGAGCGGGGGTTGTTCACCAAAGAATATAACGGACAAATTGGTGACGCTTAAGAAAACTGTGTCCTAAGAGTACATTTGAACAAAGATTTGAGAGCATGGACAGTTTAACGCCCTTGTATTGATGGTCATCATACTGCAGATTGACAAGGCAATGCTCACTGGTGCAGCTTGTTATGTGAGTGCTAACTATGGAGATCTTGGCATGAGAACCGAGGATATTCAAGTGGAACTGCTTGATAGCCGACTCAGCAATCTAGCTCTCAATGCTTCTAGTATCAGTTAAAGCTTTTAGAGGAACCTTGTTGATGAGTACATAGACCACTGCATGGGAGAGACCGTTTGGCGCCGCTGTGATCATGATAGAGGATAGACATCCATGGAGCACTGAGGTAGTCTTTTTGGATGAGGAACGACAAACTTTCTGGTAATGTCCTTTTCTCCCTAATCGTTGCAAATGGTGTCTCGCGCAGGGCATCGAGATCTATCCGCAGAATAAACACTTGCTATTCGATACTGTAACGACGACATTGTTGTGTTCGACTAGTGGGGCATTTGGTGCTTACGAATGTTCGGAATGACTTATGGTAGATGCACCATAAGCGTTTTCTGATTGGTGTAACTGGCTGACAAAAAGCCATCTCGAGAGATCGGGTTTGTTCAAAAGCGGTGTTGACGTATGGTTTGAGAGTGAAGCCCCGTTATGAAGGCATCTCAAATGACATCTTCGCGATTCTTCTCTACCGTGACTTTTTGTACTTTTCTGGACCAGTGGTTTCAACCGTTGCCTGAAGTTTTCCAGAGTCTCTTCCACTTGTTGCTTGCTAGTAGTTAGAACATGACGTGTAAAAATGTCATCTTTCAGCTTAGTGTATATAGATCTGCGAATTCCGATGGTGACTTCGTAGGTTGTACACTCTAATGTAGTCGTATGCATCAGGAGACACATAGTTAGCCAGAATCCTCAATTTACTGAACGGCTGTGAGTCAACTGTCTCAAAAAATAAGTAAACGTATCAAACCAATGGGTCCACCGTTTTGCCTAGTTCGTGTTCCTGGGATTGGCATCGAAATATTCTGGCCGGAGGATTCATTTCATTGCTTGTTGAATAAATTTTCATGAAATTTAATGAAATGAAATTTAATGAAATGAAGGAATGCGACGAGTGAGACGAGTATGTGCCCGAGAGATTTAGCTTTATTCAGCAAACAGTTGAGGCGTGTAGACTGAAATTAAATGCGGAAAGGTTATGGAAACGAGTAATAGGTGAGAAGTTTACCTACCAGAGTATATCGTTCTAATTCCGTGCCAGCTAAAATGAACACGTCCTCATACGCGTGCATGTCAATGACGAAAGGAAAAGGCCTGTACATTTTGTTCTCGAGTTTTTCGGAAAACCGCACGTCGTTTCGTATGATGAATACCCGATATGCTATCATTTATGCGACATACCTGTGGTATTTAAACGTCCTTTCTGTACCATGGGCATAAAATATGTTTAAGCATCACGTGACGTCCCTTTGGAGGTACTTAAGTTGGTATAGCTCCTGTCCCTTGTAACGTAAGCACCGATCATTGTGCATACTTCACCAACCATTAGACAATCACTTAACGCAAATAACATGGTTCGATACACTCGATCGCGCCACTGAAAACAGATCGGCATGTCCTCATTCACGAACACCAGCACAACTTTTCGTCAAAACTTGTTGCCTGAAGATCTCATGTTTCGTTAATCAAATTCTAGTTCTAATTTCTTGGCTTGATGCTTTTCTTCTCTACAGATTCTCGGTCTCTCAAAACTTTTCATCCATTGGAACCACAAGGCTTCCAGCTCTGATACTGCCGAATCCTAGATGTTGGACCACGGAGCCGTCTTGGTTTTTGTAATTTGCACCACGCGTTCTGTTGACCTGCTCGTAGTTCTACGGGATCATCGGTGTCATATCACACATCGTTTTGACTAAGTGGATCTGTGGTTCTTCATCTAATGACATCGTGTGTGCAACATCCCATTGAGATTTACGTATCCACCGACACGATTCACATGCGAGCAAACCACTGCGCCAACTTTTGAAAACAATGATAGTGAACCACTTGAGCTGTAATCACTTTCGCATTGCGACTCTGAAATCACTGACCCCATTTCATCCGGCGTTCGTTGCCGCAGTTGATTCCAATCAACAGTGAGGTTTAGACTGTGCACCCGTTCACTAATGTTCTCGTACCAACTGGGTCATGTGACTACATGCAGCAACTCATGAGGCAGATTTATTCGCTCTGCTCTTATGGTGCTGCAATTGCGTACGATAATGATATCGCGATGCCTTGAACGAAGGTAGTATGACCTGCGGAGTAAAAGAGGTGAAAGAGTCTACTTTATTGGTCTAACACCAGAGGCGAAAGCGTTAATGCGATATTTACGCCGGCTGGAAAATGTAATCTCTGTTCCATCAAATAATTTAAGCACAATAACCAAGATCTGGGGATAAAGACAAAGACAGTTCGCCAAATATACGGACGCGTCGTCTGCTATCAGCTCAGAATCCGGTGATGAAATTAGGCTAAAACGAGAGTATCCAATATCACATGGTGCTGATATTTGCGAATCCCCGTGTTGTGGAGGTATCACATAGATTCCAGCTTTCGGAGCTTAATGCCAGGAAATCGCGCAGATGACTTGAGCGGCTGATGGGCATTTTCTCCTCTATTTTCCGGTGGTTTTACACTTGCACAATATTGGTTGCGGCTGGATAAGATTAACTTCTCCACCGATTGCTCACACTTCCAGAATCGGATCACACATTTTAGCCTGACCGGGCAAAGAACTGTCAGAGAGAATGACACATTTGACTCATTGGTTGGCTGTCGATCGTGTTGAACAACGAATTTATACGGGTTAAGAAGCGTTGCTTTACAAGTCCCGTTGGATAGTTGCTGGGGATACCAACATAACAATAAGGATAATAAGGATGGTAAAATAGTTAGTACTTTAAATATGAAAATAAGGACTTATCGTTTGCTCCGCCATCGTCTTGCAATCCGTTTAGATTCACAGCACCCGCAGTTAACATCAAATAATTCCATGGTAAACTCCAGGTGTAGGATGGAGACGTAGTGTTAACTGACAAAGTGTAAGTGGATGAGTGCATCGTCCAAGCGTCTTTTAAATACTGTTACTGTCGGTGCAGTGACGGCCGATTCTGGGAGAGCATTCCACCGGTGACATACACGAAAGGACAAGAAATTTCTGCGACTATACGATACAGCGAGTTTCGATGAGTGTCCCCTCAGGTTTGTATTGGTGCTGAGTTGAAGTAAAGGGCGGCACACATGATGTGGGTCTCGCAGAATCAAGTATGCCATAATCAGGTACCCTCGTAATCTGCGATAGCTTCCACTGAATACTCCCAATGGTTGCAGCCTCTCCTGGTATGAAATATTGCGCATTCCAATATCTTCTTAGATGCTTGATGTTGTGGCTGCTCCAGTGCATTAAGGTCGTGTTTCAGTCATGGATGCCAAGCTTGAATTGCGTATTTGACATGGAAGCGAACATACGCACTGAGCATTTGACAAAATATGGAACTTTTTATGTGTCCAAACGCCCGTCGCAACTGTCCGACGTGTTGGTTCCCAGTCTTCGAGGTATTTTCGGATTGCTCGGAGCAACCCAAGTCATCTTGAACCAGGACACCCAACTCACATTCAAAAGTTGCTCGTTGTAATGTATTTGTTCCGAGCCGGTATGAGTAGCTGCTCTGATGTCGCATGGAAAGCACCTTGCATTTACTGACGTTTAAATGCAGTAAGTTTTGGGTTAGCCATTGATACACCGTATCTAGGTCACTCTGAAGCACATGTTGATCAGCGTTCGCCTGGATCCTGCGCCAGATCTTGATATTGTCAGCAACCATTAGGAAGTTTGAAGCGGTTCCCTGTGCAAGGTCATTAATAAGCACCAAAACCAAATGTGGACCTAGAAGTGAGTCTTGCCGCATACCACACTCGATTTCTATAGGGTCCGATAAAGAGCTCCAAACTCTGACCACTAATTGCCATTGAACAAAAAAGTTGGCACTCCAGCATAAAAGGGGGTCGCCGATCCTGTAATGCTGGAGCTTGAAGAGTAGGATCCGATGGTCTAGACGATCGAAAGCCTTGTAAAAATCCAGATAGATAACATCAATGCTTTCTCCAGCTTCAGTCGCCTCTACTACTACTGCGTGCGGTTAGTAACTTCGTTGTACATCACCGCTGTCGGCGGAAACCATGCTGCACAGGCGTGATGATGCTACAGTTTTCCATATAGCACACCAGTGCATCGGCAACTATGGATTCTGGACGGTAGGTGGAGTACTGTTTGCGATGGTGTGAAATGAAGTGCGAACTGAAAGAAACGCACCCTGATTATGACCTAACTGCCTGATTTGTAGTTCTCAGAGCCATTGGAATAGCTGCCTAGGCCGTACCATTGAGGTGTTCACCTGACTGTCAGCTTGTGTGTTATTGGAAGCCATGTGCTTGGTTGACAGTGCTTTACCCCAGCGGAACTGAGCGGGTTTCCACCGTTTGGTGGTTCGGTGTTGTTCCTCCCAACCCTGACACCCCATGACCGGTTTCGTTCTCCTTTGGACTCATCGGATAGAGATAGCCTTAGCTGGGTTGGACCTCGACGCGTATTCTTTAATGTTTGACGCCTTGACCACTATGGCTCTAAGATCCGCGAGCAATGCTTGGCACATCGAAAAGCGGGTACACCAAATGCCACTTGGATTTCTTTACCGGTGTGCCAAGCGTTGCTCGCGGATCTTAAAGCCATAGTGGTCAAGGCGTCAACCTTCGTACACTAGGCCTCTAGCTCCACCCAGGCTCAGGCTATCTCCATCTGATGAGTCCAAAGGAGGACGAAACCGGTTATGGGGTGTCAGGGTTGGAAGGAGCAACACCAAACCACCAATTCGGATAAGGTCCTTGTGATCGTAATGACCGAGGTCTACTTCAAAGAGGACCAAGGTCTGAATAGAGATTGCGATTCGCAATCCAACCATACAACCGGGTACACTAAATTCCACCTGGGTTTCTACCGTTTTATTGAAGATTCTTAATCGATTTTATGAGGAAGGCGGCGAACCTCTTCCGATCATAAAGGGAAGCACATCTTACTAGGCGAAACGGAGTCCAATGTAATCATACCATGGCCACTGGCCCTATGATGTTCGTGGTATCTGTCAGACAGCTTGCGTTTTGTCTGTGAAATTGTAGTCTAAATTCTGCACAGGCAGCACACATTGGGGCCACGCGTTTATAGTATTCTACGACATAGAGTAGGCTAGTGTAACGTGCAAGTTCAGTTGGTATCACAACAATAGGATGATACTGTGAATGTTCCATCTCCTGGGTAACGTTGAACCAATAATCGATAGGGCGAGTTAAAATTTTGATAAAACTAAAACCGCATCACGCCCTGGCCATTCAGTTACTGTCTACATGTCCTACACATCAGTGGCTTACGGGCCGGTTATGTGAATTAAGAGTGAATGATAAGCTCAGAAGGGGAGATAATGGTTATACCAAGGCATGAACTGAACTGAAAAAATAACGGGAGCTGGAGGTCCAACACGGTTAGATTCATGTATATGTTTGGTATTGCTACTCATGAGCATTTAACTGGTGTTGAAAACCCTCCCTAACCACTCGCACCGGAAGCGAGTTCCAGCGATAAATGACTCGGCACCGCGTTACAAGTTTCCATCCTTAGCTGGTCAACGCAGTTCGTACAGCTTAAACGATTGACATCGGAGACCAAGATAACGGGACTAAATAGCCAATACAAGTCTATACCGGTCTGTTCGTTAGAATACTACAAGTGAGGATCAAGTCCCCTCCAATTCTCCAGTTGGGATTAGAGTATATCCCGAAGGTAAGGACACGTTGGAGTGCGTCTGTCCTAGTGCCAACTAGCAAAACCCTCTTCAGTTCCATTTTATCCCTACAAAACATCGTGGATAAGTCTGGACACAGTATTCCAATTGGAGTCGCAAAAACGCTGAGAATAACTTCACAAATCTATCCGGCCTTAAGACTCCGTAGGAGCGGTGAATAAACCACATCATGCGGAACCCCATACCAGTAACTTTTTCCCAACTGTCGCCATGGTACAGGGCCTACGCGTAGACGACACCTAGGTCAACCTGCTGAGTGACAACTGGGATTTCGTTTCCGCCAATAACATATTTTTGGAGGCACTAGCGGCTCCCATGCAGAGGACAGAACACCGCACCTGATTTGTGGGCATCAGCCATAAGGTAGACCAATCCGAGAGCTTATCCAAGTCACTATGAATTGCCTCAAAACCCCCAGGGTTATTCACAGTATCCCAGAGCTTGAGGTCATCAGCAAACAAGCTCGTTAGGTAAGCCATTTACATAGATTTCGAACAGCAGCGGTCCTAAAACTGAGTCCTTTAGAACGCCACCAGGAACAGCTGCCTAAGCGATATGCTATGCTCCACGTGTACACATTTTTTCTCTCCTCCAGAATAGTAGCCACACTTTTAACGGGACAACCACGTATGCTGTAAGACCGCAATTTTAATGGAAGCCGTAAATGGGGGTGGATATGCAAATCTTTCGAAAGGCACATCAATACCTTGGCAGCTATCCACTGCCTCCTAAACTCAGGTTTCACTAGCTACAAGTGAAATTCACTTCAAAATCCGTGTTCTGCAGCAGTAAACTTAAGCTTATTCAGGTGGCTTTCCACCTAATCCCTATCGGTATTTCAAACCACTTGTCTACTACGCTTGTCAAGCTGACAGACCGGTATTTTGCGGACATAGTACTGTCACTGTCCTTAAAAATCCGACCGATGATTGTCTCCTTCCATTCCGGAGGTAAGGCACAGCTGCCGAGCGATTTTGTACACACGCATATAGGATGACCACATAATTCATTTGCCAATTTCTACAGCAATATCGGATGAATTGTATCAAGGCCAGAAGCTTTAGAAGGATTTAGCCCTTTCAATTGCCCGAAGACATGAGTCTCTTTCATCCTAATTTCACTTAGACAAGAATCCCCCGGAACTCTACAGGTCAGCTCAACCTACGGTAGAGGCCTCTCAAGCAAAGAAACACGTATGGTTGGCGACTTCCGTTTCCGGATTTGCGTCACTGCTGCCTCCATAGGACAGCCGCAGGACACCTATGTCTACATAGCCACCATGAGTAGCTTGCGCTGCACCACCCACAGCTCCATTCGCACACGTCGTATCCAGTGTAAACCCGAAGGAATAGGATCGGGTGTCATGTGAATGGGACCCACGTTTAATCAACGAAGCCGGCCCACACTCCTTCAACATGCACA